CACATAATATTCCTTAAATTTGTAATATAGTACCTCAAATACCAACTACTTCAGGGTTCAATTATTACCGCTCTTAATACTTTGCGCTAAAATTGGTAGAATGATAGAAAGTAAAAAGAAAAAATGCACATTTTCATAGTACATAGAATTATGTCAAAAAAGAAACTTTTTTGATAATTTTCGCTTTCGTTATCCGGAAGAAATAATTTGGAGTTAACAGTTCTGCGGAAGTATTGTAATCTCTGTTTAGATGACCATTCAGCAATTTGAAAGAATAATGTTTTGATTTTTCGTATTCCCATCTGGTAAATATTAAATCTGCACAGCAGAATGAACTGATTGCAGCTTGAAAAGATTTTGGTATGAGAAAGGAGGAAAAAGAAGCGACTTGAAATATGTCATGTAACGGTTATTCTGCGGGTAATTGAAGTGTATAGCTGAATTACATCCTTTTCTGCGGCTAATATAAAAGTATAGGGCTGCAAGTGGTTTTTGCAATGATTTTCATGCAATTCGGTTTCGTCGATAGTTTTACAGTGCATTGTAAAATGCCTTACGGGGAATTGGTCATGATTTGTATATTCGTCCAAACCGCTGTACGGTATTAATGTAACATTGCCTAAACTTTGAACATCGAAACATATTTGCCGTCTTATAAAATCGTACATGCGTAAGCGTTTCATTTGCTTGCTTTTTTGTTGGTTATAATTTAGGCGTAGCATTCAGCGTATAGGTTGCTAATGTTGTATGCTTTAGAATTTGATTTGCGGTGTGCTATTTTGAAATGTGTTAAGGTTATAGAAATTGGGAAATAAATTTTTGGTTTTTTGTTTTCCGCTATCACATATGGTTGTTTTAAGGCGTCGTTTGAAAACGTATTTTTGCTTGTACGAATTGGACTGAATATAAACGCTGTCGTCGCTTTTTTTTTTCATCTTTTCTCATTTTATTATTGCCTTATTCAGTTACTTAAAACTTTAGGAATAATGCATTCTTCACATAACTGGAATCTGAATTCTTTGGGATCTTTTAGAAAGAGTGTAACAGGATTTGCAGCTGAACGTAGTGGAATTGATAACCGTGCACAGGAGAAGTTTACCGTCAAGGTTTTAACTAATTTTATTCTTTATTTTTGTGAAATGGTGATTTCTCATCCATACTGTAGCTTTTTCGTTTTCTTTTTTATTCTCACGCGTAATCCACAAAATTACCCACCTCGATATTTTTAACCCGTTTTTTTAAATGCAAATTTTCAAAAATTTTGAACGGTCAGTATTTAGCGTACGGTAAAGTATCGCGCTCCGAAGTGGACAACAGTTTTTGCAAAAAATCAAGCAAACTTCTCGTCTTTTGGTAAGTTGTTTGTTGATATATGAAGAAATAACGTATGACAGTCATGTATTTTACCCTTCCCAAAAATAGACCGTACGCTGTACAAACAGTTGTGCAAATAACTTTTAAGAGTTTGTTCTGAAGAAAAAGTTGCCCAAAAGTTTCTGGTAACAGACATATTTAGATGAGTTTGAAAAAAATGATTCTTGTTCCCAGCTCAGGACAGACCCTGAGTTTCCAACGGATTATCGATATGAAAGCAGCGGTGCTACAACTTTTGATTACGATGAATGGCAGCCACCAAGCTCTCACGCTCCGTTATCAAAAACTGAGAAGCTTTTGTTTACCTCCACAGTAATAATATTTAAGCTTTACCTCTGAAGAGTTTCTACATCTTTTTGTTGTGCCTTCATTGAACTGTAGTTTGAACTAACATTCCAAAGCCTTTTCCCGTGCTGTTAGTGTTCTCTCAAATTAGTAAGTTTTTTTAATTGAGAAATCGCATATTTTTTTGCAATAAGAGAAATTTTTAGGATAATGAAGAAGAAAATTTGGATATTTGTACTCCTAAATCTGGATCCAGTGAATTCAGTAGTAGGCCAAAATATATTGGTGAGACACAGCTTAACAGTCGAACAGGTAGTTGTTACTTGCCATGTGTGAAAGTTTTTCTGAATTGGTCATGCATTTAGATTGCTCTCATACGGCTTCTCCTCTCGCGCCATTTGAAAACAAAATTGAAGACGTTTTACCAAGTCAACTACTTCCGACAAGTCAAGGTTTCTTTAATTTTTGAATAGATGGTGTTTTTTTTAACATCAGAAGGCTGATCGCCTCAAATAAGCGTTGGCATGTATATTTTTTCTGTATTTGGTTCTTTGTCTGCCGCGAGCGGCTTGGTGTATGTCAGGCATTCACAGAAATTTAACTACTGGTACAGTGCATAAATAACTATTGGAACGCTTATTAATAGCATATTAAAATGTTTTTAAATTGGTCTGCCACTTCTAGTTTATTCCTTTAGCTCTCGGGGTGATCATCTGGGAAGTGGAAGTTGGTATTGTTTTTGAACTCAAATAAGAAAGATTGTTAACAGTTTTTAAGGTCAGTTGGATACCAAAACTTGTATTTGCAATAGACCTGCAACGCGAGTTTATTGTTTAAAATGCGGTCATCATTGTCATGGCAGAGTCCGGAAGGTTTGTTCTCTTCACCGCAATCGGATGGATCTGATGGACATTCGTCAGTGCTGGAACTGTCAGAGCAAAGACCTATGGGAGGATTGAGAGGAAGGAGATTTTTCCCGACTTGAGTGAATTTGATTCAGAATGGCACTTCGGGTTTATTCCTCCTTTATATCATGAGTAGTCTCTTGATTGTAGTTAGCAGAACACTGAATGTTCAATCTAAAAAAAAGTGTTCCTCAAAGTTCGAATTTTTATGAGTTTGTCATTTTTATTCGCTATACATATGTACATCTCGCTGTAACTTGTAGTAGTTTTTTATCGAAGTTGTTAGTGGTACTTCTGATACTTATCAATGTTGTGTGGTATTTTAGAATATAATATTTCTTGTATATGGCAGTTTCTGCGGACAAAATTTTTGCATGTTTGAAGCTTTATGTATAGTTGTGAAGGATTTGCTAAAGGTACTTTGTGTAAAAGATGAGGTTTTTTGTGGTTGCAAAACAATAAATTTCCTTTGGACATCAGGGAAGATATTAAAAATGTTTTTCTTTCCATTGTCACATGGCCTGAGTCAGTTTTTTAGGTTGGTAGAGATGCGGCGGATGATCTTTCATATTTCTTTATTATTTTTATCAATGGGTCAGGTCGTCGCTGCAGATGCAAGATAGTACATAGAATTTTTCTCCGGTGCCTTGCTTGTTTTGAAATTTGCGTTGAAATCGCATATTCTTTTATTTTTAATGTTCTGGAGACATGACTGCTTGTGCTCAGCATTCGGTAGAAAAGCATCGTAGGAGTGACGCTTCTTTTAGGCTTTATCTTTTTAGCACAAGATACTTGTTTTGCCGGCTACTACCTCCGAGATTCTCTCAGGTCTCAACAGTAATTTGTGATTTTAATGTGGAATTTTGGGTTTTTTGTGCCGGTTAAGCAGGAGAATGTTATATTGTTCTTGGGGTCAGGATTTTCGCATTTTCAATTTTTCTGCCAAGTTGCGGTCTTTTGTTTTTCGGTTGAGTTTAAATCGGTATTAGCTTTGTAGTGACTACCTGGGATTTTGAATTAGTATTGAACTGGACGTCCACTACGAGGAGCTTTTCATCTGCTGTTGCCTCACACGGCGAAATATTTTTTGAAGAATTTAATTTTGGTACGTTTTCAGTGTATTTTCTTTTTGCTTTCGATTAGGTGCTACAGGTGCTGTAATTGTTTTTGAGGTGTGGAGTTCGTTTTTGAGGTGTGGAGAATCGGGTGTTATTCAACTTTTTTTGTCAGCAATAAAAGAAAGGGAGTTTTTGTCATCTGTCAACTTTTTGCTCCTCTCTTGGACCCAATTCCGTTTGCGAGTGTTTTTAGGGAATTTTTTAAGATGAAGCTGGTGAGTCATTTCACCTGAACTTTAATTTTTTACAGGTATATTGAAGTTTTGCACTAAATTTTTTCAATAAATTCTGCATTTTTTCCACGAGGTTTGTTTACTGTCGTAATTTCGATTGTCTTAAATCTTTCATGAAAAATCTAAAGGTGATGAAGACTGGACTCCCGGATATTTGGACCACTCCAAAGTAGCCGTGTAACTCGTTCGGCTTGGTCTTCTGTTATGCATTTATCACCATTTTTGAAAACGACAGCCCATTAATACGGTGGGCGCAGAGACTATTGTGATCGTCGTTGTCATCACCGCAACGAAGGGAAGTGACTGTTCAAATTGATGACATTTTTGGCCCAGAAATTTGCAATTTCTACAAGTAGCGAAAATATCTTTAATGGGGGAAAAAAAAGAAAAAAAACTTTAAGAGAATTTCTGTTGATGACGTAAACTTAAAAATTCTTGTTTGAGGTTAATTTACGAACCACACCCCAACTGAAATCAGAAAAAAATTGTTTCTTCCTTCATGTCTACACGCTTTAATGAATTTCTCTGAGTCACTGGTAATGTCACAGCATCCAGAATTCGTTGTCGTTGATGTCGCTGTTGTCGTTGTCATCGTTGTTGTTTTTGTTGTCGGTGTTGTTGTTGCTGTTGTTGTTGTAACTGTCATTGTTGCTGTTATTGTTGATGCCATTTACTGCTGAAGCGTTGAAAATTCAGTGGTGGCACGAACTTTGTTGAATCTTCATTGCTCTAAATTTTTCCATAGAGTCAAATAATATTGCGAAGTAGTTTGAAAGAATAGTTATAAAAAAGGTAAAATATGCGAAAAATGTAGGCGTTTTTTCTCCAC